CGATGGCTGGGTTGCGAGGAGGCAGCGTTTCGCTGCCTCACGCGTCCCGCCTCCTCCTTAGCTAGCATGACTGCTTCGCAAAAGGAGGAGACGGCATCCCAGTCCCCCTCGCTCCGCATCATGGCCTGCACTAGGCACGGACGCGAGAGGTCGCCATCGCCGATCACTTCCCTGAGGGCACGGCGGTGCTCAGCCCACGCAGGGCATTCCGCTACGGTGTGTTCCACCGTGTCCTCAGGGCGGTCCTCGCAGTGATAACACCCAGGCGTTTCCTCCCGCCCCATCAGACACAGGTACCTCCCGCAACTTCCATGTCCGGTGAGGACCAGAACCTAACGGGTTACTGGGGCTCCGGCTCGACGTGCAGGAGAAGGAACGGGGTGGTTTTTAGTCAGTAAGAGTCTGACACTCCCTCCCGCCTCACTCAGGCGGGAGCAGTAATTCGATGATTTTCCCCGCTTAAAATAAATACAAATCTATACCTATAGGTATTTATAACCATGTATTTATGATATGTATAATATTTTGGCCCCGTCCCCAAATCCCCAATCCCTAAATAAAAGGTCGGCAATTCATTAGCAACGAGTCTGGTGTTGTACGTGTTCAGCAGTAGCGCCGATTACTTGCCGTCACGTGATCCTTCCTTCTGCTTGTTTACCACTCTATCCCAAAACACAATACAGTGGCATAATCGTATGCAGTTGAATTTAAAATAATAATATTCATGACAGTACGTTTAACAAAAACGACATCAACCTCCTTTTCTTAAATTTTTAGTCTAACACCTGTTTATAAGTGTAACAAATACTGTTTTAAAAAACGCATCAAAATACAGTCAATCGCGAGATTATAATCGCGGACAAAAATAAATGCATACAGGTCAAACTGAGAACCTCCATTTTATGAACATACATAACATCACGCGTTTTATCCCCGAAGGGGTAGGTAGAGGTGCACATTACGGCACTAAATGCCACTGTACACTCCATGCTACTACTGAGATTTTTTTAAAAACCCAGTGATACTTTGTCCAACCCGGGAATCACACTTGCGCCCACTCGGCCAATGAGGCAGTCTCTAGGCCATGTTTTGCAGTCGGTTATAAATTGGTTTAACTTAACACAAAAACATTTATAGACATTCGATCAATTTGAGGATTGGTAGTAATTTCATTGTGATTATCACATGTGGTATCACTGACGTGAGATAATATTCATGATTAAAATAAAAACAATACGTGACAAAACAAAATCAAATGAATAAGATTATTATCTCTTTGATACATTAATGGAAGTAGGTACCTACATGAAAGAATGTTGTAACCTATCATTACTTCGACGCATTTATAAACATATCGATATCGATGTTATGACAGCGTTTTGTATGAATAGTATCCTTTTGTGAAAGACGTAATACTTTTTTCGTCATGACATGACTTTTCAGTCCTTCGAAGAAAAAAATCAAACCAAACAAGATTAAGGAAGGTAATTTATATCTTTATACATATAATTCTTCTGTGAGTGTGTATGTCACTGAACTTCTCTCAAACGACTGAACCGATTTTGATGAAATTTTTTGTGTGTGTTCAAGGGGATCTGGGAATGGTTCAGATTCACAAATCACTCCATGCAGATGGCGTTGCAGTCAATGTTTAGGTTATTTATCCTAAACAGCTAAACTAATTTGAATGAATTTTTGTTTATACATTCAAGTGGATATGCAGGACAACGTCTGTTGGGTCCGGTAGTATTATTATATAAAAATGAAACCCGTTTCCCGTTGTCACGCCATAACTTGGAAACGGCTTGGCCGATTTGGCTGATTTTTTTTTGTTGTTTGTTATCGTCTGGAGAAGGTTCTTATGACAGAAAAAAGTCCTGAAAATCTTACGGGAATGGGAGAAACGGAATAGCGCGTACGAAGAATACGAAGAATCTTTGCATGCCAAGTGAAGGCAAAATATGGAGAAACTGTATATTTTGTTAATACCTATATTATGTACCCATGTTTGCAAACGATTAAATGCATTTGAATTTGAAGCCGCGGGCAGAAAAAAATTCTAAAATTAGGTGTGAGAATGTCGGAATAATTCTGAATGGCTACAAGTTTATGAATATAAGTATCCATTTTGTTTGGTTGTCATCGTTTGATTATTATAATAATTAATCTCATCTCATCAACACCCTATAAGTGCCCACTGCTGAGCAAAGGATCTTCTCACACGGAGAAGGTTTGAGCATTAATCACTACGCTTGCTCAATGCGGGTTGGTGATTACAAACTAATAATTATAAATTATGACCTCAGGTTTCCTCACGATGTTTTTCTTCACCGTTTGTTAGTGGTGGTTAAATAATCTTAAAAAGTACATATAACTCGGAAAAAGGCACATTACTACTTGCCGTTGGCAGGTTTCGAACCCTCAACCTCATGCACGAGAAGCGGGCGTCTTAAACTTCCGGGCTACCACGACCCTCCGGGCCACCACGACACGAATAATTAATAACACAATCATAATATTATAATATTTGTAAAATAGAGTTTTCTCTAAATGTTGAGTTGGTTTCCCATGTCGTCGTACCTATAGGTAGCTAAAAACGTAATATTATTTAAGAAAAACACATTTTAATCGCTTGAAGAACTGCTATATTACATAATAGGATTGTTAAATGTTTTATTTTAATGCCCATCTGGTAGATTAATTTAAAAATATGAACACATATTTTTCCCTTTTCTCACAAAATTAAATACTTTCGACGAAATATCGTGTCACGTCACAACGTATTATTTTTGAAGCACTTTGTGACGTAACGACCTCCTACTCCTAAACATAACTCCATTTTATCTAAGTATTGTAATTTTATAGATGCAAGACCATAAAAAATACGTGTCTACTTTTTTTCATTATCTAACTGACGGACTTAGATTTTTAATTTACAACCCTGTCTACTACCCTATTGTCCGAAAGTTGCCTACCTATTACAAACATTTACCTGTTTCTAAATAGAGATTTACTAGATTATTGCTGCTTAGTTGAGATACAGATTTTTTACATAATTATATGTAGGTAGTTTTCAAATTATTAATAGCTCTCCTATGTTGCATCAAAACAATATCACTAAATATTGTAATTTGCACAAAATATCATTAGTACAGTACCTACCACAGTAGTGATTCGCTCGATGACCGCCACGCCCTCTGTAATTTTTACTTCGTTGCTGCTTCTGTGTATTCTAATTAGATTTCACGAATATTTTTTTTTAATTATCCGTAAACATAAGATGAATTTAAAATAGAAAAGATTTTTATAACTTGTGGGATTAGCGTATAAACCATAAAATGTATCAAATTCGATAATTACTTACTTACTTATTTATTTATCATTTCATGTACAATATTATGCTGGTATGCAAAGATAAAGTTGGTTTTTATTAGTATCAATTAGGGAAATGTGACAAAATACTAGTTGATGCGTGAATATTAGTGGTAGGCACTATCTTCTCTATATGTGTATAAAACTAATCTCCTTAATTTAATCCTAATTGCGCATGAACTTCTTTTTCGTCGTGTTATATTCAGGAGAAGGTTAATACACAATAAATTTTTGTAGGTAAACCTCACCCACATAAAGTCAATTTTTTGAGTTAAAAAGCTTCTCAGGGTCGCGAATACCCAAATCTCCTCCGAACACGTTATACCTGGTACACACTCAGGTAGAAAAGGAATCCCTTAAAAACCAGGGATACGGATCGGGTGTGGGATCACGCGTACTCACAATACACGAGGCTCAGGGGCTTTCGTACGCGGCAGTGGTTGTTGTGAATGCAGAGGAGAAGAAACAGCGGATACACGACAGTGTATCGCACGCCGTGGTAGCTATATCCCGTCACACTAACAGCTGTGTTTACTACACGAATATCAGTGACGACGCGATCAGCAAATTAATCAGACGAGCTTTGGGTGAGAGTGAGCGGGGGATCCTGGACTATAACTTGAAAATGGCTATCAGCAACAGGGACATGGCGGTAGTGGGCGCTCTTTTGGGTGGGGAGGGCTCGCTGTAAGCTTGAATTGTGATGAAAGCGTGACATTAATATATATTTGTGTGTGTTTAATAATGTTAAAATATAGTAAATAATGTAACGTAATGTAAATTTTATCAATAAGACTGACAAAATACATTGGCACTACTGGAATCGGCTTACTGCTGCGTGAGCAGACGTCATGCATTCTTAAATGTTCTACAGTCGGTGGCGCTGTGGACTGGGTCGCTCCGTTCCCTACGAAATGGTTGATCGGACCGATTGCTGGCCCTCACGTCATGCTCGTGAACGGGCGCCTTCTGCTGGAGCAGGTCGGCTCGCTCATCGCGCGTGTGGGCCGATCCAGTAAGGTTAATGTAAATGTAATAAAACATGTATTGTTATATATAGATATTAGACACAACCTTCTTTGTGGAAAAAAAATGTGGTTAATGTAGCACGTAAGATTTTTGTAACAATTAATTTTGACTGTAAATTAAAAGATAATGTAATGGAATGACAAGGGCACGGACAAGAGTCCGTGGAGAATAAGAAATGTAATATTTAAAAAAAAAAAAAAAAAAAAAGTCAATTTTTAAGCTCTTAACATTATTACCCGAGTGTAGAAAGAGTATTGTTTTGACTATTATATTAAAGATCGAAAAAATGTCTGTTATTATTTTTTTTAGGTTGAAAGAGTTTTTTTCTATAAGAAAGCAGTAATGGCTTCTTCTTTCTTGTTTCTTCTTCGAAAATAATTAAGTAATTAAACAATTTGTGATGAGACAGTCATGACGCCTCTAGCAACTATGATAGCACCCCGAAATCTCTCACACAGTTGTGGAACGGATAAATGAATATTATTTAAGTATGTATAAAATAAAATAAAAATCGCATTTAAAAAGTAAAATTTTATTTCAATTTTGTGCGTGTCGCTACTGTCCACTGTCCGATTTTTCTTGTCGTATAATTGTGTCTTTTAAAATGGAAATACTGATCCAGTTCTCAGGGCGTAGAGACCGTTTCTGCAAATTATAAAATATATTAGTTTGAGTTTTACATTTCGTCAAAGCACAGTACACATTTCACGGTAGATATTTAAACCTCTTTTTACTCTAACGCTTCCTATAATTAAGCAAACTTGCAATAATCAAGTAAATTATAACAGTGTTATCAAATGATATATTATGTTACTTTACGTATATAGTTACCATGCCATCAATAACATCATTTTAGCCTAGGATCACTACTGCTGGACGTAAGCATAGTAAGAAACTTTATATCTTTACGACATAATTTTGGTTTATGCGTCTTTCAAACACGTGGACAAGAAACTTTCGTTTAATGAAATATCTTTTGCTTACCCTCGTTTGGTAAAAATACTATTGCCCATATGGAAACTAGCTCCATTGCATGTGCCAAGCTCAGCTTCCCAAATGTTAGGACATTGTCTTCCGATCAAATGGTTGTGTCGAACTGTGGCCGCGAAAAGCTCCGTCGCACGACCGTGAGAACATGCATTGCCCTGGAGTGCACAGCCTGGCTGCCAGTGTTTACCGCCATTAGGATAGAAATCAGCGTTACCACTTGGGTTCATAATACCTAGGGCGTTACCGTCGGTATGGATAGCCTCCACGTACTGACCATTACTTGAACTTAATCTGTTGCTGTTAGAATGCCATAGATAGCCAGCAGGATCCAATCCTGTAACATAACAATTACAATACACATTTTAATATCACGTTTGTTAAATTTTTAATTGCCATTGTAATAAAATGGGAGTCTATTGTAAAAAGTAAGACACAGTACCAAATTCAGATCAAAAAGTCTCATAATAGTTTGTTCGAACTGGAATTATGGGATTTTGTGTTTCTAAAAAAATACACTTACCCGTTATACGGGCAGGACGATTGCCAGTCTGTCGTCCAGCGTTTCCGACAACGTGAGCTCCCAAACTGAATCCAACAAAGTGGACCTGATTCCAGTTACCTCCAGCTGTGTTAATGAGCCAGGTAACAAAGTTTCCAAGGTGTACTCCTACATTGGGTACCCCAGCAACAGCAGTGCTGTATTGACCATTAGCAAGGGCTCGCCAGTCTACAACGATGACGTTGCAATCTTGGACTGCTAGGAAAGCAGAAGTGATAAGTGGGTTCATTGGAGTATTTCCGTTATTGTTCCATCCGTGAACGATAACATTCAGTGGTCGTGCACCATTGTAATTTGAGGCCCAAATTGTGTTGGCGTTACCATGAGTAATGACTTGCGGGTTATGTGGGTTGCGACTGAAACAAATATATAATTAAGTTTATTTAAGAAAGCTAAAAAAATGTCATTGTAAAAATATTTAGTTTTGAAATTAATTATCAGTGAGTAAACGATTACCTAGTGTAAAGCCAGTATTGATTGTTGGCTCCATTCCTAGTTGCTTCCAGCAGTTCCTCGTCGACTGGCTCTTCAAGGTCTACTAGTACGGGTTTACCTTCACCATCAGGCATCCACACATAGCGGGTAACTCCCTCCACGTAGTGACTGTTGTCCCTTGGAATATTGGGAATGGCACTGCTGGAGCACACTAGAAAGAAATTAGTTTTTATAAGTTTCGTAAAATTATGGCTATATGGTACATTGATTCAGAAGAATTCAAGGTGGATATTTTTTGAAAGAAATTAAGTACTTTGTTAACATTGTTTTAAAGAAAACCTACATATTTTTTATGATTTATTATACCTATTTAGTAGGTACCAGCACAGTGTACCAGGTAGGTAGGTACATTTTAATATTTTTTTAATTTACAGAGTACAGGGACAGACAGACAGTATTTTGTTTCCTCATTTTTACTGATAATCATAATAACCATCTGGTTATTAGAAATGAGGCAGATATTTTTTACCATGTTGTCATAAATCCGCTAAAATATATGTTCAAAAATTGCATTGGAACATATATATGTTCCAATGCACAGAAAATCTCGAAAGAGATTATGTTGCATTGTACATAAAAATAATGTTTGTTATTAAATGTGTATTGTGTATTAAATAAATAAAACATTATTTCGAGCTTAATAATATTAATCTGTATTTTTGTCAATCGGTGACCAAATGACTGGCTTGACAGACCGACTGACAGACAAAGCACAGCCTACTGAACCTAGAAAGCTGAAACTTGGTACCTATGTATGTTTTGTTTTATTGTAGAGAGATCACTAAGAGAAAATTTCTCTAAATTCCCACGATAACGGTAAAAACGGGAATCCCTTCGATTTAACTATACAGTACGACAGTTAAATCGTAATATGTGTAACGTGCATTAGTTTCTGTAGGCACAACAATTTTAAAATAAAATGTATACTCACAAGCTACGAGAGCCGCTATTACGATGAGTGTCTTCATATTGGTTTTTCCATTTTTCAAACCTCACAGGGGTATTTATACAAATGTTATCATTTTTGTTTGATTAATCTATCTGTTTTGGTAAGTGATTAATTTGTGTGATTTTAAGTATAATTAATCATTTTAGTTGATATTACACAATTTTATGCCTTGAAGAATCAAGTGAGTAGATATATTTCTATAGGGCATAAACTTTGGCTGATGGAGCACAGTTAATGCACTTAGCTGCCTGTCATCCAGAACTATGTAAGATATAGCATATACCTTAGTTATAACCTAAAACGTTTTAGAAGAAAAATGGTTTTGGTTTCTTAATTGAACTGCTACCACCTTTATTTTACAAACTTGACTTTAGTATTCACAAAACTAATTATATTTTATTTCTAATAAAAAGATGAAGAGTTTGTTTGTTTGAATGCTCTAATCTCTGCACGGAACAGACTTTGGTGAACTTTGTTATAACTATAGTTTCTATTACTACAATTTACGAAAACGGGAACTACGCAGGTGAAATCTCATGACTGTACATATTTTAAATTAGAAACAGATTTTAATGAAATTTTGTGCAACAATAAAAAGACCCGAGCACTAGCTAGACCTACCACTAATTCATGAAGTTTCGGGTAGCTAAATGCAATGCAATGTTTCAACTCAATTCATGAATTTTACGTGGTGACCAGTGGAGTTTGGATGGTGGAGTTAAAAAAATGTCATGGTGGCCCGAAAGTTTAAGACGCTGGCTTCTCATGCATGAAAGTGTGTGTTCGAAATCTACCAATAATAAGTACCAATGTGAATTTTTCCGAGTTATATTCGAAGATTATTTAGACGCCAATGACCAACGGTGAAGGAAAACATTGTGAGGAAATCTAAGTTTATAATTTGTAATTAAAAGTTTAAAACTGCTAACCCGCATTGAGCAAGCGTGGTAATTAGGCTCAAACTTTCTCCGTGCTAGACCTTTGGCACATACAGTACTCCCGCGAGAGCAGTGATCCTGCTTCGAGGGTAAGAAACTATTCGTAAGTCGCGAGTGGGCGCCAGAGATGCATGATGGAGGATGCTTCGGCTGGAATAGATGATTTGAACGTTCAGCTACTCACATTTCCGTTGTCCCTCTGTTGGTATAACTAGCAACCATTCCCAGGGCCCTGTGCGCGAGATGGCGAGTCTCCGCCTGCTATTTTTACATGCATTACTTACATTGTTTTGGCAGATGCCACAGTCAACCATAGTTCCCAATTTACCAGTCCACAACAACCTATATTTTCTATTATTCACTAGTAGACAAACTTGTAGGTAAATAGTTCTACACTAACCGGGGGACTGTCCTTGGGTGCATTTCTACAGTGCATACAGTGAAAGTAACCAGTTTGTATGTCCATTAAATTTAGGTTAAAGTTGTCTAAAGGGCCTCTGCGCAGTTGGCTTCGGCCTCTCGTATGCCTCCCAAATAACCGGGACCCTGTGGTCCCGTGGATGGTAAAGTCATACAGCAGTCTAACTACAAACGGACGAAACGCGAGCTATAACTACACGCCTCGATTTTTTGGCATCCCAAAATAAGCCCGATTCGTTTTTCAAACAAAAACATGTTTTTTTTTATTTAATCTACCAATCGAAAAACAACACTCATTTTATTGAACACTTCCTATTCAATATACAAAGTAATTTACTTGTTTATACGTCTATAAAAAAGGATATTTACAATCACAAAACTGAATAGAAACAGGAAAGTAGGCAAATGTAATTAAAATGCTGGAGACGGGCAGCCCTAACGCATGTTACGTACCGCGCGGCTGTAGGTATTTAACTGTCATGTCGAGTGTGTCCTTTGCAGCAATAGGTGGACAAAACTATTTTGTAAATAAATTGTATACTCACAAGCTATGAGAGCTGCTATTGTAATTGCAACAAAAAAGTGCAATAAGAGAACTCTTTTCGTAGTTTTCTTATTGCACTTTTGTTGATAAATGCATGGGGGTTTTTATACAATTAATATTATCGCTTTCTTTCGATTAAGATATCTATTTTAGTAATTGGACAATATTGATAAATATTTAAATCTCGTAAATTGATCTTAATTTTTGTTTTTAGATGGTACTGATCGCTTATCGTTTTATCACGGTACATCAATACATTTGGCTCAAAGGGCGGAAGTACCAATAAAATATACTTTTATTTCACTATCTGATTATTCTTTGTTATTTTTCATAATAAATATTAGGTATTACCTTATTAAGTAGGGTACATACATACATGTGTATTAGCTAGCTCAGATGCTTTGAAACTAGAAAATGAAAAGCATTTATAATTAATTCAAGGATTTAATATTTTTAACAACTTGATTTGACTGTTTTGTTTTGCTTAAGGATTAAAATCATCGTCCGTGGTGATTAGAAAGGCCAGCTTGATCCAGTTCTTAGGGCGTAAAGACCGCTCCTGTAAAACATTTAATGACTTATTATTATAAAAAATACGAGTGTGTGTTACAAAAAACATAGAGATTGCTTTCATAGGAATGATAATCATGGAAAGGATTTTGTTACAAATTTTATACTAGTTGAAAATAAAGATTATAAATCATAGGTTTCGGTTTTCGATATGTGTTTAGGTATTTTTGCTCCAATTTGTTAGCTAACAAATAAACGTCAAATAAAAGCTGTAACTTTTTAATAGTAAAGGAACAGAATCTAACTAATACAAGCCGAAGTCCAGGTTATATTTAAGATGAAAATCACAATGTCCGAAAAATAAGTTCAAAGGAGATCGTTAAATCACCTACTTATGTTACGTGAAGTAAATGTTTTAAATGGCTGCATTGGGTGAAATGAGATATACAAAGAATAGAGGCGTCCCTCTATATAATTTTTGTCGATAAACTTTAACATACATAAAACAAATATCAGAAATCGAACTCCTATTACCCAGCTGTAATAGTAATACGTGACTTCATCTGACTTTTTAAAGCCTTTTTTTATCTAGGCTTAAATTTTTTAATAATACCATTAAAGGAGTTTATCAATGAAACTTACCCGCGTTTAGAAATAATGGAGTTGCCCATACGGAAGGAAGCTCCATTGCAGGTTCCGAGTTCAGCTTCCCAGATGTTGGGGCATTGTCTGCCGTTCAAGTGGTTGTGGCGCACGGTGGAGGCGAACAGCTCAGTCGCACGGCCGTGGGAGCATGTGCTCACCCAACAACCAGGCTGAGGGTTTTTACCACCGTTAGGGTAGAAATCAGCGTCACCAACAGGATTGAAGATACCAAGGAGGTGACCATCTGTGTGGATAGCTTCAACGTATTGACCAGCATTGCGGTTCAAAGCGTTGCCGTTGTTATTCCAACCAGGGCCAGCAGGGTCAAGACCTAAAACAAAAATGTCACAAAACTTAAAATTGCCCTGCAGTCTGTAAGTGCTATAATTAAAATATAATTGTTTCATTTTAAGAACTTCAGAACAGAAATATGGAATAACAATTATTTATTTCCTGCTTTCGCTTTTATTATAACAGAAGTATAGATAATGTGCATAGTATCTTACCTGTAATACGGGCTATTTGACTTCCGACTCTACGTCCAGCATTGCCGACGACATGAGCACCGAGACTGAATCCAACTAAATGTACTTGGTTCCAGTTACCGCCACCGTTTCTGATTAACCAGGTGAGGAAGTCTCCGAGGTGTTGTCCCACACTGGGGACAGCATTAAAGGCTGCAGTGTAGCCTGAGTTCGCAGGACCGCGCCAGTCGACTACAATTACATTGCAGTCCATAACAGCTAGGAAGGCTGATGTGATGAGAGGGTTCATAGCAGTGTTTCCATTGTTGTTTAATCCGTGGACGATAACTTTCAAGGGGCGGTTACCATTGTAGTTGGAGTTTCTAATAGAGTTGACGTTGTTATGAGTAATGACTTGGGCGTTATTAGGATTACTCCTGAAAAAAAAATGTGTTCTAGTTATTAATCACAGTAATTAGATTCAGAGAAATGTGTCAGCGATATTTTTTTAACAGGACTGTAAGCAGTATTTATGTCGAAAATCGTAAGGTGAATGTGAAGGTGGTAAAAACTATTCAGGTGGATGACAAAGCAAAGCCTATTAAGGCATCTTCTATTACCAGACCAAGGAGCTAACCTGTTTATTAATGTATAGTACTAATAACTTAATATCTTTAGGGAATCATTAGGTAACTATGTAGGTACTGCATGAGTGTTTTTATAATAACTATGGTGAGATACGCTGATTAACTAAAAATTTCGAGTTACTCACGTATATATTCAGAAAAGCTCTACTAGTTTCGAGTCACGGAGTAGGCTGCTGAAGAGTCCCTCTATGACTCAAACCTAGTAGAGCTTTTCTCAGTGTATTTACGCGAGTAACTGGTGAGTTTTAGTTACTTCATAATTGAGGTAAACATAAAAAAGCAAGAAATGAAAACTAACCGAGTGAACAACCAGTACTGGTTGTTGGCTCCATTTCTGGTCGCTTCCAGTAGTTCTTCATTGACTGGCTCTTCAAGGTCCACTAGTACGGGTTTACCTTCACCATCAGGCATCCATATGTAACGACTCACTCCCTCCACGTAGTGGCTGTTGTCTCCAGGGATGGTGGGAATGGCATTGCCGGAGCACACTTGAAATTTATCGCATGTTAGATATAAATGTAGTTAAATTACTTACCCTCCCGTCGATTCCTTCTTTGGTTTTACAAACGTTAAGTATAGAAGATGATAACATAATGTATTCTCTGGTCTTCAGTTAGTATATGTAGAAATGGGATGATTGAAATATTTTTTTAAGCAAAAAACATTTTTTTTTATAAGACTGTAAAACAAAAAATTAATATACTTACAGGCTACGAGAGCCACCAATATAACGATGAACTTCATGCTTCAGTGTTTGTTTCTGTTACCTCTTCAAAGTCTTTTATAAAAACATGTTATCTCGTGAGGACATAGGTAATTAGTGGATTAAATTGATACACAGATTGTTTGTATCTTTTCGTTCCAATATTAGCTTGTCTTTCTAAATGTTATCGACGCGATTGGGGTAAAAGCACAATCATGAAAAAATATGATATTATAATGTATGTGTATACATTATGTGCTTCACGTAAATAATTTACAACAATATTTTTTTTTGGGTTGGTTTGTGGTGTATGAATGCCCGAAATACGGAAGTAAGGCCTAGGCCTTAAAGTATTCGGAGTCGCGGAGAACCTAACGGGTTACCGAGGCTCCGGCTCGACGTGCAGGAGAGGGAACGGGGTGGTTTTTAGTTAGTAAGAGTCTGACACTCCCTCCCGCTTCACCCAGGCGGGAGCAGTCATTCGATGATTTTCCCCCTTAAAAAAGGCAAAAGGTTGGACAAAAAATAAGTTACTTCAATAAGAAAAAAATATTTCAATACAATAAATGATTTGAAAATAATCATGCTTTCTTGACTTTATTATTTTTTTATACCACGACGGTGGCAAAGAAGCACACGGCCCACCTGATGGTAAGTGGTTAACGTGGTTTATGAAAGTTTGCGACACTTGGGACATTACATCCGCCTTGCCGATCATTAAACCTATTACTCTCCCTTCTTGAAGAACCACATATTGTAGCCTACTGGGAAAACCTCGACGAGGAGTTCATTCCACAATCATAGGTTTAGAGGGTCCGTAGGAGCAAATTTCTCTAAAACCAAACTGTATGGGACCATTATTCAAATTCTTTTATTGCATATCATGTGTACAATTTACCAATTGTACATAGTTACATGGGGTACACTTTCAACATGAAACCCGGCTAGGGCACGGCAACATATGGAGCTAAATATAATCTAATATACTACTACCAATACTTATTATATAATGCTATTTGACGCAAAAATATGATGGCGTCAGAATTGCGATCTCATACAAACATTAGAAAAGTATCGTTTTTCAAAATTTTAATTAAAGTATTGGATTTGACTCGTTTTCAACTACTACTATATTGAAAGAGAAAATGATTGCCAATAAAGTCATTTAAACTATATCAGTGCAGTTTCTTCTGTATCTAACTGCAAAATCTTAAAAATCATATTATAATTCAATACATTTCGTTTTAAACCTGGGCCCTAAAGATAATAAATAAGTGTTAATAAATTGCCATTAGAAGTAATATTTGTCTTCAACACACGAAAAAAAAGTGTACAATTAAATTAAGGATTTGTGTGAATATTACTCAGACCGTGCGAAACCAGGCCGGGACATTAGTTCATTAACACAGGTATAATGTACAGAAACCAAAAAATATTATTTTTTCATCATGCCATATAATTAATCATAATTATAGGTCCTATCATTTCGATAACTATTATTATCTTTCAAATATTTTTCGTTTGTCTTTATGACATTTTTTGATTTAAAGATGAATCGATTTTTATTGGATTGTGATAACAATTTAATTCATAAATAATTTTGAACAAATTTTCCTCAATAAGCACTGTGTCATTCGTATCTTATTCACACATTCGTGATTTTAACAGGAAAAATGCGAGTTCTGTAAAATTTACGTTTTGATTGCGTTTTCAGTGATTAATTATTATGTAATTTGATCAATTTTTAGTTTGTTGAACGATATTTAATGAATGATATTTGTGCCAGTATTAGTATTAATAAATGTTTATTGGTATATTGACAACAAATTAAAACTAAAATCACTTAAATCAAACAAGTAGTTTTTTATTTATTGGTGTTTTTGTAGTTCGATCGGGATTTTTTCAAAACCGAAAATGTTGAATATCTCAGAAACTAGCCACTTTTGGACCAGAGACCTCAGGGCTAATTTTCTAGGAAATTAGTTGTATTATCACCTCCCGAGAGGAATACGTTGAGTTACATGTCATATTACCTACTACCAGCATCAAGACATGTCTACATTATAATACTAGCTTCTACCAGTGGCTTCACCCGCGTTCCCGGGGGTAAAAAGTAGCCTATGTGTTACTCCACACTATAATCTACCTCCGTTCCATCCCGGTCTCTTCAGCCGGTTTGATGTAACACTTCGAATAAATATGCACAAAAATTTTCGCATTTATAATAGCAATTCAAGCTAATTTCGACCAACAGCGTAAGGTCCATTGCGGGCAACTTAACATTCGATAATCTTATGTTAGTTGTGTTTGGTACAGTAACTGTGTCGAGTCGCACAATTGAGTTTGTTTTTGGGAGAAATACTTTTTCGGAATAAAATATACCAGTGTGACGTAAGGATATTGAAGTATAATCATACCATCGTAATCGCATTGGTAGTTTTTGCGTGATGCGTGAACATACAGACAGACAAACAAATTTTTTTTTCAGTATCCGTAACGTTTTCCACTACATTACGTAATTACAGTTATTCAGTGTTATTATTAAATAACTTTCTTGTTGCCTTACATTGTGTATATTTTGTATGATTCGTGAGTAGGAAACTGATTAATGCGCCATATAATGTTTTATATGGCTGCCTTGCTCGCCGAGTGGTCGCAAGTGCGCATCGAACCCGAGACCCCTTGTTCTCGGGCTCGATTCCGGCTGGGGCGAAGGATTACTGGGTTTTGTGCTCGGTATATGACAATAGGTTCACCCCCTATTACATGGGTCTCATAACATAAATAGTGAAAAGTGGGTGTTACGTTGTACAGTGGCATTTAGTGTCGTAATATGCACAGGCGTGATGTTATATTATGCTTATAATGTTTTCAATTGACTTAAATTAAAGTAAGGTATGTTTATTTTTTTAACAATCTATTTCATTGATTCAAGTATTTAGTACTTACTTTATAATAATCAAATGGCTAAGTAGGTAAAGATAATGTTTCATTGTATTATCTAAGTGGGTACCTACCTATTTTGTTTTATATTTAAATGATTATTTATTTATTTATTTATTTATTGACAGAGATCGGTCAGCGTGAGATGGAATAATTCTGTTCCTTGCGCCCAAAGGACGTAAAGTTGATAGTACGACATGTTCAATACTACCGCCGTGTCGTGTTTCATGATCTAACATTAGTTATTATCTTTTATTATGTAGTTGGAAATTACCTGACCTCTTTTGTCTAATGCCGAACTGACTGAACTATAGTCGTTGTAATGTTTTTAGGAAACGTTAAAATGAACCGTCTTTCTTTTATTTCTGATGCTTTTTTTTTAAACAAGAAATAACCCTTATGATGAAACCTATTCTTATTTATAACAAAGCTGCAACCTGCAATATAGTTTTATTTCTCAAATAGAAGATTCGACTCTCTGCTCAGCCATACCATTATTTAAATGTATGCAGCAAGCACTTTGATTGTTATGTTCTAATAAAATTTAATTCAGTGTTTCAATCCTGTACCTTCTCCCAACTTGATCGTCGTTCATTATGAGTGTAGTTCGATGTGTTTTTGGAAATAAAATTACAGCAAATGACTAAATATCATGCCTTGTGATCAAATTGAACTAAGCCTCTAATCGATAATGAGGTAAATCACGCTCATTACATGAGTATTTGCCAGGGTCAATTTCCAGATCGGGCACACATTTTAGTGATGTCTGGTGCTCGGTTGTTTCGATGTTGTTGGATAATCATTTATTTCAATTAGACTTGATGGCACTCAAGAAGGCTTCTGAACTTCAAACAAAATTAAAAGTGTCAGTCTATCGGTCAGTCCTCTAACGAAACGTTTTTGTCAGGCCCCTATATTTCGAAACTCAGATGAAGGTCTTCCAGGAAAGGGGATTAAGTAAAGGTAGCAGAATTTTGTGGTAAATAAACTAACATTATTCTGTTTTTTTTTATTTAATCTGAATACCTGTAATACGATTAAAGGCCACAGTAGGTACTATTTTTATGAAATTAAATAAAACACTTTCATTCAAACATTTCTTTAATTCATTGTTACCGTATTGACATTATTTTAATTTATGTAGGATTTATAGTTTAAAAAGGAGCACTTGATCCGGTTCTCAGAGCGTAAAGACCATTTCTGGAAATAAAAGATAGTTATAGCATATTATTTTTCTTAATAATTGAATATATTTTGTTATTTGAGTACTTAATATGTATTAGATTTAAAATTCAAAGTAACAGCGTAAAGTCGAGTTGGGAAGTAGTTGTTACAATTAATGTTTACTCCTATGATTATGGCTACGCAAATTAAAACGTTCTGCTTGCCCTTCGGTGATACGTCTGCTCGTTTAACAATAATATAAAATAGCCTTTGAGAACAGTTATTTAATCAAATGAATGTTACTTACCCACGCTTGTTCAAGAGTGCGTTACCCATGTGCAAGGAAGCTCCATTGCATGTTCCGAGTTCAGCTTCCCAGATGTTGGGACACTGTCTGCCAATCAAATGATTGTGACGAACAGTGGCGGCAAATAGCTCCGTAGCACGACCATGAGAGCAGTAGCTAGTCCAACAACCAGGTTGGAAGTTTTTACCACCATTAGGGTAGAAGTCAGCGTGTCCGCTGGGGTTCATTATACCAAGGCCGTGACCATCAGTGTGGATAGCTTCTACGTATCTGCCGTTACCAGCAGCTAATCGGTTAGCGTTATTATGCCATCGATAGCCGGCGGGATCCAAACCTGGCATGGAGTAAAAAATAATCAGGCATATACCTATAATTTATAGAACGCAGCAAGCAGTAACTTTGTTAGAAATAATTATTTTACCGGTAATACGGGCTGGTTGATTTCCGACTCTACGACCAGCATTGCCGACGACATGAGCACCGAGACTGAATCCAACTAAATGTACTTGGTTCCAGTTACCGCCACCGTTTCTAATTAACCAGGTGAGGAAGTCTCCGAGGTGTTGTCCTACACTGGGGACTGCATTAGCGGCGGTGCTGTAGGCTGAGTTAGCGGCAGCGCGCCAATCGACCACAATTACATTACAGTCCATGACGTCAAGGAAAGCCCGTGTGATGAGAGGGTTCATTTCGGTGTTTCCATTATTATTCCATCCGTGGACGATAACTTTCAAGGGTCGGTTACCATTATAGTTAGAGTTCCTAATCGAGTTGACATTATTGTGGGTTATGACTTGGGCATTAAGGCGGTTACTCCTGAAATACACAAACGTGTAATGTCATTCCAAATGTGAGTAATTTTATTTACATAGTCACTTTAGTAAAATAAAATGTATTGAGACGTGATAGAGTAGGTAGAACTTGTTTAGTAGTCACGTAATATGTTTACAAACCGGGTGAACAGCCAGTATTGGTTGTTTGCTCCATTTCTGGCTGCTTTCAGTACTTCTTCGTCAACTGGTTCGTCGAGGTCAACCAGTACCGAGTTGCCTTCAGCATCAGGCATCCACACGTAGCGGCTCACTCCCTCCACATAGTGACTATTGTCTACCGGTATATCACGAATAATATGGCCGGAGCATACTAAAATAACGTAAATAGAGTTAGTGATTATTTACCATTTTAAATAGTAGAATACTGTAGCTTAAGTTTAAGACAAATATCCTGTAATATTAATGTATGTATTTACTAAAGGAAAAGAATAAATAAATAAATATGTACAACTTAAGAAACTAAAACCAAACGAGAAACGTCATATTATTAACATTAATCAATTGAGATATCGCTGATATAGATTAGGTATGACTGAAGGTTTTTAGAGGTATGTTGTAGTTGTAGCTAATGCAAATGAGTGCTATTCATTTGAAAGTGGTAAAACGTTGTTGGCGCACTCCTATCAGTTCGATCAACCCTTTATTTGAATGTCTGCTGGCACGAACATGATTTTTAAACAAATTTTGCGACTCACGTGAGTCGAAACATGTTTTATTATTTTTCTTAAGGAGGAAATATGGGGGTTACCGGAAAGCTTACGGGAGTTTTCAAAATCGGCTAGTTTGTATATGTGGTCATGTGCTCTTTCCGATTTCCATTTTAAACCTTTGTAAGTACGTGCGCCGCTCGTGCCGCCATCGTAGAACAAGTTTTAAACAAAAATAATAATTAAAACTTTAATAGATATCTAACTCATATTATTAAGATTAGAAGAATTATACCTGAGACCATTGCCTAAGTTATGTTTTGTTATGAGCACCGTCACTACTATTGCACTCCATTAAAGTGTAAAGTTCTCGTCAAAACAAATAATTCAAGCAAAACACGGGGTCATAGGTAGAAATTCTCGAGGAGATCCCTCGACTGGCCCTCGGCTCCATTATCAGATCGACTCTAGACCTTCATCAGATTGAATTGGTTTTAAATACTTAATAAAAAACAGTTGTACTAGTCGCTTCTATAATTTTTAAAAGTTTCGCTCGGTTCCCTGGGATCCCATCATCAGATCCTGATCAAATGATAAGCCTACCCTTTCAAATAGAAATAGAATTGTTGAAAGTGGTCCAGGCGTCTCCGAGAACGTCTCTGAGTAACAAACATTAAAAAAAATACAGTCGAATTAAGAACCTCCTCCTTTTTTAATTCGGTTGAAAATAGTGGCCAAAACAATCTTTTTACAATATCTCTTTTCTTGAACATTTTGACTACAAAAGTAAACTATCCACGATTTTCTACAATTTATGTCTAATAGATTACTAATATTGTAGATTAATTATAAGCATTTTCGTTAAAAAATACCCACTATGACATATCGATGAGTGCTGAAGACGAAATCTCCTTTGTGCGGTTCATCAGATACAGTTAAGGGCAGGATATTAGGGCAGGTACCTAAAGTGTGTATCACAATGACATGAGCATTAAACCTATAAACTATTAAAAAATCGAGCCGCTTGCTCTACTTTCACGTGGTGTGGAAAATATTTTATTTCCCAAAATGTTCGTAATTTTTTTTTGCGGTGCTTAGGTACCAAAACTACTTATACATATTACAAAAAAGCTATCCAATAGAAAATTGTGAGTACATAAGACATAAATTGTAGAAAATTGTAAGTAGTTTAATTTTGTACTCAACATCTTTCTCGTTAAATTTACAGAAAAAGAGATATTATAAAAAACTGTTTTTGACTGCCATTTTTTCAAGATGGCGGTTAAAAACAAAGCACACGCACAAAGGTGCAAAATGGAAATCCGAAAGAGCACATAATAAACTCCCAGAAAACAATTTTACCAATTTGCGGAACTATTATTATCGAAAACCACGGAATGACAATGTTGTAGGTAATACATGTCTATGGCAAGTGAAGTATATATTTTATTTCAGTTTGAAGTATTATAGACTATGGGAAAAAAATATTACATTTAAAAACATTGAACGACTTTCTGAATTTTATATCTTTAATATTAAAGAGGTCAATTAGAAAGAAAATAAAGAACTGTAGAAAAGAAATTGTAGATCTTTTTATTACCTTCAAGTTCAACTTTCTCATTATTTTACTGACAAGAGTTGTAAAATTTGTTAAATATGAAATAAAATGCTCTCTCCAATTCTATATGATGACCCACTTCGACACATCGTGTTTCATATTTCTAACAAATTAATGTTTCCTATTTGTTTTCAATTCTAAAAAAATAAGTACATTTTCAATAAACAAAGCAACCCTAATCAGTTTATACATACATACACTTGATATTATAACTAATTGGCGTAAGTTTAAATATATTAATTGAGTTTACGGTACTTACATGCTGCGAGTGCCGTCAGAACAACGATGGACTTCATATTATTGTGTTGACTTATTGCCACCCGGTAGGGGTTTTTATAAAAAATGATTATCATGTATTGATAGGTTTATCTGATGATACCTTATTCTATCTACTTTTGTGTCAACGGAATTTCCCATCTAGTCTTTCAAAATTGTCTCGTATATTTTTTATTCCATTGATGTATTTTTGTTATTATGTTAACATGTAGGTGCGACAAAATGTTGAGCTTACGATAACCAACATCTGCCATATATTCATATTTCGAAATCTTGTCGACAGACAGACGGACACCGGAGTCTTAGTATTTGTGTTCCGTTTTATTTTGTTTATTTTTTGCTTTTTTTTTTTTTTTAGTCTGTATGTAAGCCGACACTCCTTTATAATAATTATGTTTCTTAATAAAATTAAATAAAAAGTCCTTTGTTAAATTATTTTTTTAATTGATTTACATCATTGCTTCCATTATTTCCAACATCTGGATGAGTTTTTAGTAGTTTAGTAGCATCTAAAGATTTAGAAGTACACCATTTTTTTTAGAAAATCATATGTAAATAAAACGCAAAATAGAACAAAAATGAAAAACAAAATAGAACAAAAAATGTAAAACAAAATAGAACGAACCAAATAGAAAATAGACAAAATATTCAGAAAACATTCAGAACGAAGTTTGAACTCGAGTGTCCGTGTGTAGAGGGCGTTTGCTCTCCCTAGTAAGCTTTTTTATATGCAATGGCAAAATTTTGCGTCGTATTTTTATTCATTGAAAATATAGACAAAACGACATTTTCTGAAAACAAAACCAAGTAAGATTGATTAAATGCCCCCGAAACCGTTCTCTCGAGATCGTTGATATATTTATATACACATATACAAGAATTGCTCTTTTAAACGTATTAGATTATTCGGAAAGTAGAAACCGTACTGTAAAAAGGAGCACTTGATACAGTTCTTATAACGTGCTTTTCATACATGAGGATGCGGGTTCGAAACTTACCAACGGCAGGTAACAATGTGACTTTTTCCGAGTTTTATGTTCTAAGATTATTCAGACACCACTGTTAACGGTAAAGGAAAACATCGTGAGGAAACCTGGGCTTATAATTTCTAATTATAAGTTTGAAATCACCAACCCGCATTGAGCAAGCGTGGTGATTAATCCCCAAACCTTCTCCGTGTGTGCTCAGCAATGGACACTTATAGGCGGTTGATGATGTGATGTGATGTGGATGAACCATAATGTAGATGAAGAAGGTTTTAGGCTACATAACATCACGCTGCAACTAATAGGAGCGAAAAAATTATGGAAAATGTGGAAAAACCGGGGAAGATATACATCTTTGAGGGCTTCCGTTGCTTGCGCAGCGAAAACAGTTCAAGATACCAAAAAAATATGTTTAAAATAAATTACTGAAATGATTTAAAAAAAATGTCCGCAACGTAAATTAATATGTCTATAATTTTAAGGTTAACTCATTAGAACCGTTTTATTACCGTATGGTAATAAAATGTGGTCGAAATTAATGCATTATTACCAATTAAGTATTTGTTAGAGTTGTATCAACATCATAATATTAATCTTTATCCAAATAATTGTGTTATTGTTTGACATCACTTAATTTCAATGAACACCTTAGAAGATATTACAATTTTAAAATAACTCCGATATAATTTTCACACGCGCCGCTTGAATGATGTGCAAGACATGACGTTTTTTTTAATTAAATTCGTGTGGCTTTTCCCGCCTGGACGAGGCGGGAGGGAATGTTCGACTCTTACTGACTAAAAACCACCCAGTTCCTACTTCTGCCCTTCGATGGCAAGTCCTCAGCGGCTCCGTATCGGCATCAGCCCTATTGGGCCCCAATAGGGGTGGCCTGATGGCTCTTTGAGGCGCACGCGAAACTCGACGCGCCGTACTATCGAGTCTGGTTTTGGTTGGGCGGCGAGCTACCCATGCTCGCCGTGCACAGGCTCGTGCTTACGGTGGCCGGAGATCGTCCCGCGATCCCCGACGCCCGGAGTGTCCTTCGCGACCGACGCCTGGGTTATGAAGAGGCAGCGATACGCTGCCTCACGCGTCCTGCCTCCTCCTTAGCTAGCATGACTGCTTCAAAACATAACTAGCCGGCGGGCGAGGAGAGGTGTTGCTTGCGGGCGACGCGGAGGGGTGTATGCAACGTTATTTGTTTTTGCTAATAATATCGTCGTGTACTTTTTAAATACAATTTCATTTTGTTTTAAGGATAATATTTTGGTTCTAATAGTTCCAAAATTTATAGCACTTTTTTATTTTGATGTATATTATATGTATTTATAGTATTGTTTGTGTTGAGGATAGTATTTTGTTTCTTATAACGCAGAAGTACTTTAAAATAATTATGTTCCTTTAAAAACTTAAAACAAATATGTCTGAGATAATTAACAGAAATTGCCGCGGACAAAGTTATGAGTAATAGATGAGGTGATTGTTTGCAAAAATAAATATGATGCAAAATAATTATTCCACGCGGACGAAGTCGCGGGCACAGCTTGTAATGTATAAATAGAAGATAGATTGAGTTGATGATACCATATTCCAAATACTTTTTTGAAAATATTGTTTCCTGCCACCTGTTGGGTCTTTTAAATTATCTTGTGGTTTTTCCTTTTTATCGATATGCTTCTTTAATGATGTGAGATAAAAAATGTATAACAATTGTTGTGTTTACGATAACATCACATCAATATGTGCTGTCAATACAGATGGTAAGGTGTTATTAATCTCAATTTTTACTTAAAATCCATTTCAACATTTTAGTGAGACTATTGAATTAAACTTTAAAAAAGAAAAGAAACTGATATGATAAGGTACATTGTTCACGAAATCACTCGTCCGTCATATGATAGTCGGCAAAGAGTATATGTCTAAAAGTTTCACAATGCATTTTATTGCAATTCTCAAGGGTAATTTTATTATTATACCACTTTAGGGAAACAGAGACAAAAGTTCCCTAAGATCGGAAAAGGAGGATCCTCCGACCAGGCGAAGTGTTGTGCCTGGCGGGTTTTTTGCTCAACAGTGGTCCATTGGGATTTTCTATCGGTGTTAATTCGCATGTAAACTTCACATGTGCGATCTAGGATTTTATTACATGATCCGTTGATTTGTTTTCATTGATGGTCTATGTATGCGTGAGCTTCTACATCTAACATCTTTGACCACCACACACACCACATTTAGTAATATCTAAGCTTAGTTGCACCACAGAAAATAGTTATAGTATTCGTTAATTTTAAATGTATTAGATAACAGTTACAGCAAAATGTGTTGCACTTGCGAATTCATTAGCTTTAAAGTTAAAAGTATGCAAGTCAAATGAGGTGTGATTTTCCCCAAATATCAAATTTCGGTAATATTTTAAAACACGGAAATACTAAAGATAATCGTAAAAAATACCGAGATTTGCACTGAAATTTGCGATATTTTTCACGATATTTTTTTATTTCATGATAAAACCTCCTTGGATTTGATCATGATTTGATGAATAAATAAAGATTATTTAAAAAATATATTTTTGGTGCTGTCATCAGTGTACCTCGGATTGTAGCAGAGGAGCTACCAATCACCGCGCGCCCGTTGCAGTCAGTGTATACCTAAGCTCATAAATCCAAATAACTTTTGGCGACATTCACGTGCTTGTAACTCTTGACTGCAACGGTAGTTGAGCGGCTGGTACTATCTGCTCATCCTTCAAAAAGGTAGAACTATTACTTATAAAGTTTTTAGTGGTAGCAAAATGAGTTATCGAAACTAGCGTGACCTCCTCTACTATTTGAATTTGATATGTTATTGCGTCTATACTTCTTTTTCTATTTATACAAGCAATATCATTTCTTTCGTCTTTAGAATTGGTTTCTGCGAATATCTCTTGTAACAGGGACATGCTGTTTAGAGTTTCAGATCAGGTTTATTCAACTCGTTTGACAATTTGACAGATGTATATATGACACTAACTTTAACACTAACCAGAGAAAAGTGAGTGGTTACAGTTATAGTTAAAGTTATGACGTTATATAACTGTTTGTCAATGTCAATTGGTGCAACATGTTTTTGACCTGACCGATATTTTAACAGAAATTATGTTTTTTATTGTTAAAGTAAGTTGGTATAACCTAGCCTAACTATTGCCTCTTATAAATCTTACGGAAAACCTCCTTGATATTTCTCAGATGAAAATATTTAAATCACTAAGCTTACTGCATAATATCTATTGTTTCTGCACATTTTTGTTTTCATAACATCACGTATAATCTTGGAAATTACTGATTGAGTGGAAAAGATAATATTTTTGATATTATACCTCTATATACTTACTTGAAATAAAGAGGTTCTCGAGAGAGATAAGTATTAATTGTATTATAATCTTAGTTGTGAATTCATTGAAATTCGATTACTGATTATTTTACGAGTGCTTTGTGCACCAAGAAACTGCCGTTGCTCGTCTCTCCTCAGTTTCAAAGCACCCCCTAACTGCCTCAGCAGGTATTGGAATACTTGGTGTCAGCATTTCGAGCGACGTCCAGTTGCGCGGTCATCTAGAGGATAAGGCCAAACACCAAGCTTCCTCGAGGCAGTATTTCACCCCGGCCCACCGCCTGCTTCTATATAAGGCGCAGATTCATCCACATCACATGGAATACTGTTCTTATATTTGGCCGGGGCAACCCAGTACCAGCTTTTTCCTCTGGATTCAGCGGCGTGCCGTTTGGATTATTGGATATCGGGATGTTTCAAACCGGCTGGACACTTTGGCAATTCGCAAAGATGTAGCTTGTGCATTTTCTATAGTAGCTAGTGCTTATACCACGGGGAGTGCTCTGAGGAATTGTTTAAGGTGATACCTGCCGCATCTTTTCGCCATCGACCCTCACGACAGCATATGCATCCCCATCATATAGATGGTTGGCAGGCCATAAACGCTGTACCGCATACAAGGTTTTCGTACCAAATTTAAGTTTAACAAAACTTTGTTTTGC